CGGATTATTCATAGTGGATCTGCATTTATAGCCATGCCTCAAGGAATTGTGTGTAGTCTTGCTGAACGCCTGAACAAGCTGGCTAACCCCATTTTGGCAGGGTTTGAAGAACACTGTCACTCTAGTCCTTTCCTGTTGACGTCACTTCCTATGAACACAATATCTATGATCACGCAGTATTTACGCAAACCAGAAAAATTACAGTGTTGTTAAGCACACTTGCAGGAGCATTATGCACATAGATAAGCCAGTAGTAATAGCTTTATTCCTCGGAGAAAAACCAAGGGAATGGAGATAAAGATGTGTGGATATTTCGTCAACACGCCTTTATCGAAACGAATAGCAGGAGATTTATGTATTACTACTGTCTTATCAGACCAGGAATATGTCTCACAAAATTACGCTAAGCTCTATGCTTCATCAGTATGACAGGGATTAGGCCGAGAACTGTTCTGCTTATGTCACACATGGTTGTCAGGTTCACAACAGTATCCACTTTGTCTTAATAATATGGTGCCGAATTTCGAACGTTCGCTTCTATGGCGCCCATATAAGAATTATTGGACTTGGCAATAGCCGTTCTTGAGATATGACCTTATGAGGCGATGCAGTTTCATGGGTTTTGTTTCGCTAACGGTGCTTTCAATGGCTTCCCCACTGGAACACTGCGAATCACGTGTGATCACAGGCCCATTTTGTGAAAACGCTGCTGACAACAGCTTAAGTAATTCTTGACTCCCTATTCATGCGTTTGTTGGTTTGTCGACCTGTTTTGATTGTCGAGAATATGCGGAATATGATGTGTCGTTGACAGTCGATTGCACTGCATGGTTTCGTGTAGTTATAACCATGGGAGCAGGTATCGGCCTTGTCCCATGGCAGAAAACTTAATTATACGAAAAGATTGGATTCATAAAAGCACATTTTTGATTTGCAAGCTTTTCACTCCATACCAAGAAAAATTTCCAATAAGAAACATTTTAACTACAACAAATCCTGACCGCCTGAAACATTCGTATTTCTGGTCCTTGCCTGCGGTGGCAACGCAACGGGTTAGAGCGCCATCATAGGGAAAATACCGCTACCTGGTACTCGCATCGAACAGAGCTTGTTTTAAGGACAAGGCTTTGCAGGATAAGTACAGCGCAAAGAGAACCCATGCGAACGAGAGATCACAAATAAATGAGGAGTCTGTGACACGACTTTTTACGTATTTAACATAAAGTGATTTTCTTTGGAAGGTCCTGTGGTTTTAATTAGGCTCACCGATTCGGCGCAAATGGCGTTGACGATTACGGTGCAAACATTTTGTCTGTGGTTTGTAGATAAATCAGGACATTGCCTTATCGCATGCGCTAGATTTCTCCCAACGCTTACATTCTGATGCAAGGTCTATAAGAGACATTCCCGTGGCGTTCGTACGATTACACTTCCTTTACGTAATACACACATTTAATGCTCCCTGGTAGATTGCTGCAAATGCCAACCCGCCTTAAACGAGTCTGCTCTCCGCGTGGGCAATTTCAAATGTAATGGTCGTCTGACCACCGCCGCATACGTGCTCCAAATATAACTTTGAATGCCGCCACCGCGGCAGGTCCGCCGCTCGCCCAACTGCCCCTCGCGTGCTTAGGGATTGAGCTGATCTGATTAAGGAATTTATGAGCCTTCGCACAACCGTTGCTGCCGCCCGGACCGGCTTTGTGTATGTCAAGGTTGTGTGAGAGGGGATAAGTGAAATCGTGTTGTGGTGTTCTGAAATGATTTAAAGTGGTGTTGTCTGCCGGCATGATGGGACGAACAGTTCAAAATAAAGGTGGCAACGTTTTTTGAAGGGCAACCCCGCAAACGAGATGGGTTGCTATGTTTTAACAAATCGGTGAACATTCAGGGAGAACATGCTCACAAGAAGCGCATAGAAGATTGCTGCTTTTTGCCTAAGAGTAACATGGTGGTGGAGAGTTAATATCCAGCATCTGGAAAAAAGCGCGCTTGAAATTTGGCAGCGAAGTCTTTGATGGGATACGAAGAAGGAACTGACTTCAGAGTTTAGTTGTAGCAGGAACAAAGGTACGCTGAAATGAGGTGAGAAGGCCGAGCGGTTGCGATCGGGTATCTGCGTCGCGCCAGTTTAGTGATATGTCTTGCTGTCGCGGGCTGTGAACGACCGATGTTTCAAGATTGGATAGCGTCGCCCCATGTCTTGGAGCTTGAAATACCGCATTAACTTGTGTGTCTGCGTCTTGTATTGAGCGAGCTCCATCTGAGACCACGCCTGAATTGGCGTTCTGAGGTGCGCGCCCATCATTAATCTCGCAGCGTTATTTTGAAGCCTTTGACTCGGACTGTAAGTCTGAATAACCCAGTCACAGCGGTATCCGTCGTACACTACGTCGCGCTATTCATAGTAGGTTTGGATGTATGTGGCGTAAATCCGAGCCAGAGTGAGCCTAGGAGTGTGATGTACTATCGTATAGATAGGTGTGTAAGTTCAATTTGCCCACATTTTTGGTCATTTCGTCGATGTGATTGAGAAGGCGTGTGTCGCACTTTAGAAACGCCGTTTTCCATGCATCACGAAGTACATGGAAAGCAGCTCGCATCGGTTTCATGTACTATTGCTGCATAAAACGCTGCTGGCGCGCTCGATTGCATGGTCATGCAGACCATATCCACCACCCGACTGCCATTGACTTTCATTGACCCCGCGGGGTCACGGGAGCCAAGCGTGACCGAATCGGTTCAATCGGCAGTCCCAACTTCGAACCTTTCTCCCACCACCAAATGACCGGCCATTGAATACCACCGTCAACTTGAACATGCTACCGCCGGCTCGAGCTCGAGCTCCGGGCACGCGAGGCTCTCCACGGGACAGGCTGCCAGTCCGCAGGCTCCCGCACGCCCCGGGGGCGGGCCGCGCCGCCGCCCGTCCAACCGCCGCCGCGCGGATCTGACAGCCCGGCACGAGGGGCCAGGCTGGAACGCGCACGGTCGTGTCGTGCCGTGCGCGCCGAGCGACGGGCCGCTGTCGGCCGCCCCTGGCGGCGTGGGCGCGGCCGGAAGCGCGCTCCTGTCGGCCCGGCATCCCCCCCCCCCTGCGGCGCGTCAGTGGCGTGCCTCCGGCGGTGCGCCGAAGGTGTGAGGCGCGGCCACACGTCTGTCGCTCTGATTGGTTCGAGCATGGTTCAGCTGTGGCTGAGCTGATCTGGCTGTGGCTGAGCTGACCTGGCTGTGGCTGAGCTGACCTGGCTGGGGCTGAGCCGACCTGGCTGTGGCTGAGCTGACCTGGCTGGGGCTGAGCTGACCTGGCTGGGAATGGGATGGACTGATCTGACATAAGTTTGGCTGAATTGGCTAAGCCATCACCAGACTCAGGGAAAAGACCTCTCGGCGAGCGGTCAGATTTCAGACACCTTCTTTCGGTAATGCCCACGTAAAACACCAATCGGTTGGACTGTGGGCTGGGTACGTCTTTACCTAAGGCCGCGGGACCACGCCAAGTAAGGAATCACCAAGGACCAGTTCGCGCCGCTCGGACGGCACTGCCTTGAACTATCGCTGGACTACCGTGGACTGCCGCTGGACTACCGTGGACTACCGCTGGACTACCGCGGACTACCGCTGGACTACCGTGGACTGCCGCTGGACTATCGTAGACTATCGCTGGACTACCGTGGACTACCGCTGGACTACCGTGGACTACCGCTGGACCACCTTGGAGCATGCAACCTGAGGACATGCAATTATAGAAAATAGGCCCACCGTCATATGCGTGTTGGGACTTAACTGGTAGAAAATTACAACTGAACTCGAGCTGAACCTCAGCAGGTAGCTCCAGGGCACTCACTGGGACCTCTGCACTTCTGCTTCTTAAGAGCGGCGCCCGCTCCTGGCACACCGCTGCCGACCGCTGCTCTTCGGAAGCGCAGCGCCAGCAGAGGACGCGCGGATCGGAGGTCGAGGCAAATCCCTGCCGTCGGGCTGGGTGCTCACAGAAGCACGCGCACAGCAGTCTTGTATTACATGACGCACAGATTCAGCAACAGTTCGTAGCGACGGGGATGGAGATGAACAATCTCGAATCGAGCTCCTCGTGGCGCATGAGAACATGTCCCGTTCGAACCCCACGAGCCCGCACAAAAAGTCGACATGGACAAGTTTCCGCATGGAAGTAATCATCGAGTGCAAAATATGGACGCCTGGAGCTTCCAGACTTCATCACGAACAATGCGCTCATGGGCAATACGTTATAAATAGCTAAAATAGGAACATTGACAGTACGTGAAACGACGTCGATCTTTACCAATGTGCGGGAGTACATATGCACGCGCAAATGACTGTCAAACATTAACCACTTCCGTCCTCAGTGAATTCTCGCGTGCAAACTTTCAGCAAGTGCCTCTTCTTACGTGCCAGTTTGCGTTAGGTTCCTTTCTCTGCTCTCGATATTTTTATTCCGTTCATCCATTTCTGTCATGATCTGTCTTATTTACCGCCATCCTCTGTTTTGTTATCTATTTTTATATTTTCTGTGACTTTCTGCCTGTTTCGGTTAATCAATCCTTCCATTGTTCCTCTCTCCTCTCGCTCCGTCCCCTTATCCCTCTCCCTTCCTCTTTCCTTCCCTCCCTCTCTACCTCCCTCTTCTCTCCCTCCCTCACTACCTCTCTCCTCTCTCTCTCCTCCCTCCCTACCTCCCTCCCTGCCTCCCTCCTCCCTCCCTCCCTCCCTCCCTCCCTCCCTCCCTCCCTCCCTCCCTCCCCCTCCCGCTCCCTCCTTCTCTCTTCCTCCCTCTCCCCTATCTTCCTCTCCCTCACACACACAATTTCACTCTCTGCTTCCCCTTTCCTCGCACCCACTCACTCATCCCGTGCAAGGAATCACCGCGCGGCCCGCCACCCCCTACGTGCCCCATTTGATTATGATACACATGGAAGAGAGCGGCATGACACCCCCAGCCGCGGACCAGCTGACCCCACTGGCCAAAGAACGACACCTCCCCTCCGAAGTCAGCGGCCGCAACACTGACAGAGCTGGCTGCTGACGCATGAGACATGCCGGCAGAAGATGGACAGCACACAAACGTAATCACGGCAGCCGCAGACGTGTCGGCGGAAGCAGCTTAGTATAGGCTACCCTCGGCAGGAGGTACTATTGCAAGTTCATCAGCTTGGTGCGAATAGAGTGCTATAGTCTCCAAAAGCAATCCACAGACCGGGCAAGCATCACGGGCCGCGCTAAGCTACTCTTATGGTACACGGATAGTAGCGATCCAATACAGCAGTGTTCTGCCTCGTGGGCAGAACTATGGCACAGAGCGCCTACATATTAGCGTCACCACAACATTCGGGACAGCGATGTTCCCGGTGGCAGTCTCCTCACATGGTCGCCCCATCACCACGTGACCGTGACCCGGTGGCCGTGGTCGCTCTGTGCGTTATATTCCGCGATGGCACGAACCCTCGAAGGGGTTCGCTGAAGGGCCGACGCGCTCACGCTTCCCAGCGCGCGCGCCGGGGGTCGGTTACCACCGCGGCTGTCCAGGGTGCATTTCAGTCCACACGATGCTACTGGCCTCACCCGGGGCGTGTGATGTTCGGACCGTAACAGAGTCGCGTCTGATGCTGGTCGGTCACACGTTGGTTTGGTGAACGCCGCCCGAGAGACTTATCGCACGTTGGTCTGGTGACGGCCGCCCGAGAGCCTCGCATCACACATTGGTCTGGTGAACACCGCCCGAGAGACTCTCGCGCTGCTCGCGCTGCTCGGCGATCACCAGCGACACCAGGTCGACGGCGGACTTGACCTTGCGCGCCGCAGTCAGCTGACTGGTGATGGGCACCATCAGCGAGTTCTGGCGCGGCCGGCTCGGCGAGTGGCTCGGCATCATGTAGTGGCAGAGCATGGCGTCCTCGTCCATCGAGTTCATCCGCGAGCTCTGTCGGGACAGGGTGGCTGGTGAAGCGGCGATAACGGCTGGCCGCTCGAAGGACTCGCTGGAGCGCTGACTGGGGACTACCGTGTTATCCAGCCCAGATGGACAGAATACAAGAGGCACGGATACCGCGAAAGTCTTGCTTCACTGCAGGGCGTCTTTGAACAGGTCAGTTTAACGTCAAGGTGCCACGCACTCACGCAGCGAGGTGGGAATATTTAAAACATTGGATGTTTTACGTTGTTGGTAACGTTGGTGGGCTGGGTATAGCCACAGGTAAGAAGCAGACGACTGAGGTAATGACAGCCAACGCACAGCCCACCAGCTGGCCGCGAAAAGCTGTCCGAAACCACCTCAACGCAACAATTTAGCAGATCGTGTCCCGCTAAGTGCCATGACGAGAATGAAGCGTCCACCAGTACAGCGCAAGCCGTAGTGGTGTTGTGCACGGGATCGCGGTCCCCGAGGTCTCACAGCTCAGGCCTGAGTTTTATTTCTGTCGCCATTTTCAGCTCTTCTAACCGTGCCTGATTTAACGCGCAGCATATTTGGGAAAGCACATCCTTACGCTCTGGGCATCCCCTTCGAGTGGAAGATGTTCTCCGTACTTTCGAACATGCACATGGATGTGAATTGACGTTCCGTGTGACCGATTTGCTCGAAAATATCATCCATGCCCTGGGGCTTTGCAGGCTGACATGGAAACACCGTGTTATACCACGAAAAGGCTTATTTAATTTATCGTGCTGGCAAAATGCCTGGCAGAACAGACTGCCACTTTGAGGAGTTCGAGTCGAGGCTTGACGTCTTGTGTTCATGGGTCTAACTCAGCAGGTGACTAACTAACTCAACAGTGATCCCGAGTCCATGGTTACATGGACTGGCTGCACGGTTACATGGTTTCCTCCTGGTTTCCAATAAAACTGTTCGCTTAGCGTAAAGGTTGTTAGAGATATTAGGCTTTCACGCATGCAGAAACATTTTAAATCACTGCTTATTTGGAAAGCGTCTGAAAGGACGGTAAGAATAAAACAATGCACAGCCGCGACGTGGCACGGCTGCCGACTGCAGCACCGTTCCGGTTAACTTGAAGCGCTCGCAGTGCCGTTCATCAAACTCGAGGCGAACCAGAGCTGGCGCCACCTCGGGACATGGTGCGGCGGGGTGGGGAGGGGCTCTCGCCACCCCAAGAGGCCTCTCGGGCCGGGCGGCTCGGGTTTCTCCAATCAGCCGGCGCTCAGTAATAGGCAGAAGCACGGTCGCCGTAGTCGAGACGTGCTCAAACAATGGCGATTGGTGAGGCGGCCGTGCTCCGCCGAGCGAGCACCGGGCTGTCGTTGCCACAGCGGGCGCTGGATTCTGATTTCGCTCTGAACTGTTATTAGAGTGAATGCGTTTCGTACACGTTCATCGCGCTACTAGGCCCATTGGGTTGATTCGGCGAGTTTGTTTCAGGCCTGCTGTACCATTTCGTGCGTGTATGATGCGGAGGCGTTTCAGAGGATTTGCTTTCTACAGCCCGAGAAGCATTTTCAGAAGGACTGAATTAATGTACCTGCGACCGTGCGGAAAGATCAGGCCACGCAGGATCACCGAGTCGACCCTATGCCATTGGATGCTTGTTATTGGAATAGCTAACCGAACATTCAGTAAAAAAACAGCACATAGTAAACGGCAGGCTTCACTACGCTCTCTGCGTCAATCTAGTGCTCACAGTAGCATGTGTAACTTTTTCACCTTACATGCATTTCCGTTCTCCATCGCACGACTTATCACGTATTCCTGCAGCTTATCGACGGTAACTCAGGCCCTTGCTTACAATCGCACATAGGCACGTTTACATGCTATTTAAATATGATTGACAGAGTGTCGCGGGTCTACTGGGTGGCACAAACGGACGGTTGAAAACAATGCGCGCACGATTCAAATGGGGATAGACTGACCGTATTTTTGGCAGCGATGGAGGGTGAAGTACCACTGAATTGCATTGAACCACTTGACACCGTGCCGAGCAAATTCCCGTGCTGCCCTTTTTTTGTTTGAATTGGTTCTTTATGCTTCTTTTTTTACTATTTCCTTCATCTTTCACGTTGCTTAGAACGATTTCACTTACTGCATCCTTGTTAACGCTTCGCTTCACTTATTTCAGTTTATCATCTTTTTTTCATTTCAGTCTGTCCCGTGAATTCATTCCACAGCGGAATCGATACCTTCAGGTCAAAAGGCTACGATCATCACTACAGGTAGGCAACCAGCATACATAAAACTATTTCGCAAGTGAAAGGACAGCGGACAAAAATGACCTACTGATTCAAGCGAGCGCGAAAGCTGGCGCACTAAACCAAACCATGCTGTTACGGTCATTGTCCTGATCGTTTCCTTGTCGCATTGTCCCTGGCTCCCCGAAAGAGGACTCCCCGAAAGAGGACTTGACGACCGGCCCGCTAAGAGAGCCACTCTGTGCTTCGGTGCCATCCATTTAGTCGAGCCCATGCATGAGCCGAAGGGAGCAAAAACGGAGCAGCCTTTTCCACGCTAATGGACGTAGTGCCGCTCCGTCACTGGCCCAATGGGGGACACGGTGCCGCGAAAAACGGCTCATTCACAGGAGAACGGCCGGGGTCACACAGGGAGAAAAGAGGGCTGGGAGGGCACGGGCTCGGGAAGCCATGGTCGAGAGGGCGGTGACCGAAAGGGGGCACAAGCGGAGCATCTTCGTGCCTGAAGTTTAACAGCTGTAGAAGCTGCGACTGCTTGGGAAGTTCAGTTCGGTCGGACAGCAAACAGTTCAATAAAATGTCCGAGCCCAAAAGCCATACCAACATCAGACTTCCGGCGTCTATTTTCCTTATCCTTAAGAAATCCTTAAGAATCCTTAAGCATGCAGCAGCTGCTCAAAATGATCGTTCATTTTTAGGTCGAATCTAATTTGTATTTATGAAAGTGAATAGCGATAAATGACAAACAAGGGTACAATGGGGGATACAGACGAAGACGCATTATTTTTTACTAGAATATGACATCTTTCAGCCCTGTAGCATCTTAAGTGTTCTGCAACTTTTTTAGGCATCACTCACTGTATTAGATCATCTAACTAACCCGCGAAGAACAAAGCCACCGCTAACCCGGCGGCAGACACCGTCTGGCCCTTTTGACTCTCTTCCTCTGTGAGACCTGTCCCCGTAGACGTCGAGCCCGTCTCCTTCGATGTCCGCTTCGAAACGTCACGGGACGGTTCGTCTTCCTATAACGTAGGGTCCGAACAAAGATGGGAAAACAGCCGAGAAGCATATGCGGGTGTGCAGTGAAAATAGCGAGATAATTATGGCAGCCCCGAATCGCCACACAGCCGCGTCATTCTATGATCGCAGTCCTTTCAGGATAGATATTCGCGTGGACCACGACCCCATCACCTGGGAGCTCAGGAGCACCCGATCCTCCTTTGAGCCACAAGCCCCGTATGGCTGCACGGTCATTGCACTTGTTTTGACAGTGTCACGGAATGGTGAACCGTAGTGCCTGCTAACGTAACGTGCCTTGCATGAAAACGCCTAATCTGTGGCGCGGCGGGTGCCGAATTAGGCTTAGGCTGGGTTTATTCGGGCATCGCAACAATATGGGTCTAAAGAGAAATTTTGAGTAGGAATTTTTCATCTCCATATTTATACACAGATATATATATATATATATATATATATATATATATATATATATGTCCGGGAGTCAGGCAAAGAATAACCCTACGCGAGAAGCTTTTCGCGGAATCAAATCTTAGCGGTGCTGCCAGGATGTTGGACAGCTCCATTTAGCAGGATTCCCTCTAAAAACTCACACTCAACGATCCGACCGTCAAGTGTTTTTCTGCTGTAAACAAACCCTGCATGATACGAGGGACGAAACTGTTGGTTCGGGCTTCAGACTCCCAATATAAAGAACTCGGGTTCAGATCCCAGTTGCGCCGTGGGTCCTGGACGTCAACATGACAACCGCAGTCACCGGAGTTCCATGAAAGGTTCGCGACGGACGAGCATCGAGCGTCGCGAGAACGCTGCGTTCTCTGTAGATAAGAACGCAGCGCATTGCTTTTCTGTCTGCGCAACCGTTTCTGCTTTCATCTGTACAGATATTTCGTATGAAATGTGTGTGCCGCCAATGAACAAATGCTATTGAGGCGCTGAACAGAGATGATAACAAAGACAGAGAGCCGATGGCGCGTTTTTTTTGTGTCAGATCTTGTCAGTTATCCATCTCACGGTAGCAGCACCCATCTAACTGCCACGGAGGCCTGCCTGGCTCGCAACGACCTCCATCGGCCGGTCCTGAGGAGCTGCCAGGCGAGTCACCAGCGAGGCCCGTACGGGCGGCCGCCGCGGCCCTCGACGCCGGCTCTCCCGCCAGCGAGGAAGCGCGGCTGAGTGGGCGGCGGCGTCCGTCCGTCCGCCACCTATGCATTGTTCAGCTGGCTGTCTGGGACGCTGCCGAGGCTCAGATCGCCGCCGGGTACCGCGCCGGAGGTGGACGGTTTGGCCGGATGCCGGCGCCGCCGGGTTTCCGCGCTGTTGGGGGAGGGTTTGGCCGGCTGCCGGCGCCGCCAGGATACCGCGTCGGAGGTGGAGGGTTTAGCCGGCTGCCGGCGCCGCCAGGGATACCGCGCCGGAGGGGAAGGGTTCGGCCAGCCGCCGGCACCGCTGGAGGGTTTAGCCGGCTGCCGGCGCCGGGGGACCGCGCCGGAGGTGGAGGGTTCGGCCAGCCGCCGGCACCGCTGGAGGGTTTAGCCGGCTGCCGGCGCCGCCAGGATACCGCGCCGGAGGTGGAGGGTTCGGCCAGCCGCCGGCACCGCTGGAGGGTTTAGCCGGCTGCCGGCGCCGAGGGACCGCGCCGGAGGGGAAGGGTTCGGCCAGCCGCCGGCACCGCTGGAGGGTTTAGCCGGCTGCCGGCGCCGCCAGGATACCGCGTCGGAGGTGGAGGGTTTAGCCGGCTGCCGGCGCCGCCAGGATACCGCGCCGGAGGGGAAGGGTTCGGCCAGCCGCCGGCACCGCTGGAGGGTTTAGCCGGCTGCCGGCGCCGGGGGACCGCGCCGGAGGTGGAGGGTTTAGCCGGCTGCTGCGCCGGGGGACCGCGCCGGAGGTGGAGGGTTCGGCCAGCCGCCGGCACCGCTGGAGGGTTTAGCCGGCTGCCGGCGCCGGGGGACCGCGCCGGAGGTGGAGGGTTTAGCCGGCCACCGGCGTGCGGAGCCGCTGCCGACTTCTAGCAGTAGGTTCGTTGAGAAGGAGAGGGGAAGTTCGCGGGCTCTGGGACGCGGGGTGCCGAGCGGGGGTCGTCGTAATTAGGCGTGGGGAGGTTGTCTGCTTTTTCTCTAATGCAGTGCGGGAAAGAGAAAGGGCTGTTCAAATTTCGACTTCAAAATACGACAGCAGTTGTGTGGTGGGAGGCAAGTGCTACTACCTCATTCCGTTTGAAGCATTTCAAAGCTGCGCTCCCTGCTTAACTTTGCACTTTCATCTCACATTTTGAGAACGCTAGGGAGCTTGTACAAAACTATTACGGGTGAGTGCTTTTGAAGCCCTGCAGGGTCTCTTACCCGGAGAGAAAGGGGAAAGATACAGCAATGCGACGAACGTCGGGAGGTTTGTTTCTTTTGAGAGTGCATAAGACGTAAAAGTGGTCAAGTCAAGCAGCTTTTTCGTGGAGATGCCATCACTATCTTGTCATCTGCACCCTCTCTACACAAGGCCTTGCATGTACCGGTGTCTCCACCTGGCCGTCCCTGTACATCGCACCACTGCCAACGAATAGTCTTGCTCAAGGTCTATCTGTCAATGCACTAAAACTGAAAGCGGTGCCCAGATTAGCTTTCAACTCACCCACCGAATGCACTATGATGCATGCAAGATGATCTAAAGCACTCAGATGTTTGTCAGTCATTCACCTTCATAGAAGAGCTTGCGCCTTGAGAAGCGTTCTGCGCTCTCTCACCTAGATAACTTTAACGCGCGCCACAATTAATAAAAGGGTTGAGTAGGAATCCAAGTAACCCGAAGCAAGGAATGACCTATTCAACTTTCCACGCAAGATTAAGAGATTGCTAGCGACCAAACGCACTACTCTCTTTTCACCAGATAGCTCACGATACAGACATCGCGCTTGGGTTACAAGAATAAAGCCAAAGTAAGCTGTGCAAATTCACAGGGTACATTAGCATCTGAAGTAAGAAATGTGTGCATACTACGCCTAAGGATATATTGTATGCAATCGACCTAGATTACATATAATGCATACCTTTATGCCATAACATTTTGAGAACGTTTTTTGTATTTTGTAGCATCACGGAAAAGTATATTGTAAATGCTTACTTACCTGGAGACGATTCACTACCTCTAAATCATCGAAACCCAAGGAAATGCTTGCTCTAGACAGGACATGATAAACACATGCGACCAAAAGACATGTGAAGAAATAAATAGTCTTCGAGAAAAACGCAAATAACACGACATGACGTACTTTTTAGTATTGTAACCGATAGTGCAGTGCCGATTTACTGCTAACAAGCTCCTGGTATTAGCATCGTGTGTGAGCAGCATGCGAGATACAAAAGGCTTAAAACACTGGGGCTGACAATTGGAAGCAACCTTTTTACACCACAACTCCCGAGACAAATTTCGACATTCGCATCGGAAGAATGTTTTTGACATGAAAGCAGGAAACTTTTAACCCTCCTCCGAGCGGTTAAGCTGCCTATTGATGTTTTCCGTAATTTTCCGTTTTACGGCTAACACTAATTCGTGTTAATTAACGTGAAACAATGTTGTATCCATATCACCGCTTTCCTCAGTGTACCATTTGTGAACACCATGCAACGCGCATGAGATGTCTGCATCTTGCTGCTCCTGCGTTAGCAAGAGGGTGACCCGCCTCGCATGGCTCGTTTTCCAACAACCCAGACTGCATTTCGACTCGGGAAAATATCTACTGGACTTTTGCCAAGCCGAAGAACGCTGAGAACGCTGCGGCGGCCCAGGGGCACGCTGTCAGCGCTGTTTTCCGTTTCAATTGGCAACGCACTGGCGCGCGATTTCGTTTTCTGCAAGCATGCTTCCTTCTCCAGCCCCAGACAAGCAGGCATGAAGGTCGCACAGGTTAGAAACACAATCACAACACTGTGTCAGTCGACTGCAAAACAGGGGTCCCGTGGAGAAGGGGCGGGCTGTCGTGCCGACTGATGAGACTACGCACCATTTCACCAGACAACACAGATGAGTGTGGTGTGCGGCTGGGGGCTGGCCGCCGGCACTACTTATGTGATTGTTCATTTAGTGTCCTTGTGTGCGTATTTGTGTAACAGGTAAGTGTGCTTTGACGTGAAACTGTTGATGATTGTGTTTTGGTGTGAGGAACTTACCGTCTGCCTGTCGTGTGTAAACAACCAGTCAACTTTACAATGACCCTACAGTTTTGTTACATTTCAGAACCAAAGCTCGGAAATCAAACAAACGTTTCGTGACGATGAACCACAATCGTTAAAAGTCGTATACCATCATGATGTAATTTGAAGTCTCTATACTACCATAAAAAATGTGCCTATCTGTGATTGTTGCCTTGTGCAGATTGACGTGAAGGAAACTTTGCGTCATTGAACAGTGCACTTGTGCAGTTCTGTGCAACATCTCTCAGTGCGGCTTGGCGGCGTGACTACGTGTTGACGTGCCCACGAACGCACGGGAGCAGGTCTCGTGGCGCACGGAGTGTGACGCGGGTGACCGTGTGTCCAGATCACATACGTTGGACGTTTCGACGTAGCGGGACATTCTCCTTTGATAGCCGTCCGACACTGACAGTTGCTGAAACATCGCACCAGTCACCGGTCAGAGCCGAGCCAGCAGGAGCGCGCCGCTCGCGCGCGCCACACTCGCCGCCGCAGGATCCGCGGCGCAGCCACACAACGGTACGGGCGCGGCGGATCACGCTAAAGAAACGACGCGGAGTGCGGTACCAAGGACTAAATGACGAGGGCTGGCCGTAAGGAATATATCAATTACGGGGCTGCTGTATTCAGATCATAATTGCCAGGTCATTGTACGCCGTATCCACCTAGTAGCTGACATGTTGGCGAAGGCGGTGAACGGGGCAACGCGAGGTCCTAACCGCACGGCCAGGAGGTCATGCCGAAAAAGTCTGTTACTGTTCTGCTTCGATTTAAGTGATGCGATTAAAAGGGTGATCAGTGCAGCATAGAAGACGCTCACTAACACACGCATGCACCAAGTATGCCACTCGCCCTTTTCAAAACTAGGTAGTTTACAGTGTGAGGACATGGCTCACAATGGGTGAAGGGTTGACATAAGGGCATGTCAGCTGATTAGGATACGTGGGAGACTTCTCCACAAGAACCAAACGAGTGGATGCTGGCTGGTGGGACTCAAGTACATTAGCAACGATTAAACCAGCTGACGCGGCACACATATATGCATCACCAGGAGCAGTATGCAGTGCACATATATAATGTGGGGTGAGAGCGTTTGTGATTGTCTTAAATTAGTTCAGTTAGATGACTAACAGTACTTGACGGCACGGTGCCGAGCCTTTAAACAGTGCGCACCTTCGTGGGATCCGCGTCTTGGGCTTTACGACCAATCGTAACATCACGCACCTGTCAAGAACATACCGCGGAAAATCATATGGCTGATCTGCTGACGTCGCATGGATGATCTGCTGATGTTGTCCACAAACTGGGGATGTGTGCTGCCGTAGAAGAGCAATGACAAGAAAGGCTCTTTACCACTCCGGCGGTGTCTCCCGAATGTAATGCTGCCACATAGTAATCAAAGGTGGTCAGCATCATTTTAGTTTCGCTCTTGGAAAGACCAGGCCGACAGCATGAAGGTCTAAATCTTCATTGCCTGGAACCCATTTCATATATCTTCCGTATTCGGCCCTAATATTACAAAATTGCACCTGCTTTCAAATTATACGTTCAACCAACACGAAGCTCAAAACCAATAGTTATCAGATGGAATTTAAAAACCAGCGATGCTTTATTGATGGTTTGCTTGTATGTCGTGCTCGTAATCGAATTCGTTTTACAGTGCTCGTATTATGACCGCATGAGCACTACCTGTGGCATGTGAGTTAACAACACGACTGTGGTAATGCCCACAGCGTTCTGGTTGGCAGTACCGCACAAGCAAATCGAGCATTTTACAAAATGGTGTTCCGGTCATTGTTTCGGATAGAAAAAGAGCCCTGAAATGTCTCATTAAATGAGTGTCGATGGAATCAGGGGTTGCGTCAAGAACCTGTCACGTTTGTGGAAAGTGCACTGTTCAGTTGTCAATAATGCAAGTGACAGAAACTACGAAATCGCGCAGCGGACAGAAATCTATGCGAAATCCTAGATTTACGGTCCTGTTTTGGCACTCGGAGGCAATTTTATGGAGTCCGAGTAAAAGTTGGTCTCCACTTCTGTGGAAGTTTGCTCGTCGGGTGCAGTTCCAGTGCACCTTGACACGTCCCGGACACAGTGGTGCCGCATAGCGCCTGCTTTCCTCGAAAACTCAGCGGACCGAGCCCGTAAACTCCTGGTGCCTGATGCGGCAATAAATCGCAGTTACCTGACCAGCCCGAATTCACCGCCGTCTGGAGGTGAATTGAAATGAAAAACAGGCAGCTGATGCTAATCCTGGGATGTGGCTCGTCCGAAGACTCCAGAAGGGACATTGACGAGACCTATCGACGTTGGCGCTAATCCACTTCTGTTCAGTGAAAACTACAGGACAAGGTTAAGTCGACATCTTTATTTCAAAACGCAAAAGTTAATTCGATGAATTTTCGTCCACTGTGCCAGTGCTGTTTTTTTTACAGGAACTTCCCGCAGGATAAATAAATGCGACCGAGGTTTCAACCAAACTCGACCATTTTCATTATGCGTAGCCCAGAATAATGCTCATACCAATCATCATCTCTCCTCCCCGTGCATCAACCTCTATTGCAATTCATTTCGCTGCCCAGTCGACCATAACTTCAAACCGCGCCATATGATTTGATGGCCGTGCTGTAAAGCCCGAGGTTTAGGCGCCCGGGCGCCGAAAGGCCTCGTAAAAAGCTGTCTGAGGATCCGGATCCAGTCCCCAGGCCTGGCGCCGGGCGCGTTTTGTGTAAGGCTGGCTTCGAACGTGACATTCCCACGTTACGGTCTGACAGTTCGGGGAATCCTACCGCCGATGGCACTCGCGTCCATCTGTATGTGGGCGTAATTTGGCCTCGTTAGCCCCACAGCCACAGGTTGACGTAGGCGCACCGGGATATGGGGCTGAAGATAGGACGAGATAAGATTTTGTGATACCATTTTGGGAATAAAAAGCTGCTTGTTATAGATTCCGTCGTGTAGTTGTACTCTGATTATTTTTGAGTGTCTGAGTCGTACACACGACATCGTGGCCCATTTACAGGACATTAATTATCAAGGTTGGTGGTTCCTCAATGCAATGTAATTCTATATCCAATGTCTACATCATTACCTCACACACCACGCCCTCTCTTTTCCATCAGAGTAATTGTCCACTTTGACGGATGAGGAAGATCCATAACAAGCTTATCTGTCCAGGGGTGAAAGTCATAAGGCGAACCTACAGTCCTCGCTATTTCAGATCGGTCCGTGTAAGCATGCACGAGCCAGAAAACAAGTCATTTTTTTTACTTATTTCGATGCTTACCCAGACCGCCTTGAGAGTTAAAAAGTAGCCTTTACTCGATGCTTGCGTCAGAACCATGCTAGGTGCATCCACTAGACTCGACGCGTCTGAAATACAATCATTTTTACATTCCGCAAGATGTAAATTCCTTTTAGGTCTAGTTCTGAGCCATGACGTCACCAGAACGACAGTTGCTGCCTCCGCATGCGGTAACTCGCAGTTGACTTCCTAATTTTGGAACGTTCTGACGTCAGTCTTTGACTGATTTGGCTGTCTGCCAGAAGCTCACTGACACCACATGAGGTAACATCAGGCCATCACCTGAAGTCATATGAGGTCAGTTTGTATATGACGCAGCGACATTTTTAATTACGCTGATTTGTAAAAAAATAAACGTTATTCCTGACGACGTCTATGTGCGATGCGCATTAGAATAGTCCAATATAGCTTGCACTCCCTTCCAAACAGGCCCTGATTTCGGCAAGCCAACACACGCTATACGCACGCGCGAGCACACGCACACACGCACGCTTCCCTCGCCACACGCATGCACGCAGAGCCCCCCCTCCCCCTTCCCCCCTCCCGCCTCCACGCTCGCTTGCCCCACCGCACGCCCGCTCGCCCCCCCGCACGCACGCAGGCCCGCACGCATGCAGGCTCGCCCGTCCGCACACATCCAGCAATATTCACGCGCACAACGCCGCTATGGGAGCTTCAGCCGCACGTGGTCGACATCTCATGGTTCACAGCTAACCGAGGCGGTCTAGCTCGGGTCGTGCTCAGATCGTCTCGCTACAGGACATACACGGCGAACTGCGTGGCTTGTGCTACCCCCGCGACTTCTCCCGAAAGGCACTGGAGCGCGATTCAGAGATCTGGCCTCCGGTCGCTTTTACTCGGCGTTCTTTTGAACAGCTTAGTGCTCTTTTCTGCTGGCGACAGCGTCGCGCTACATCACAGCGAGAGCCGGGCTATTGTGTCCCCCAAAACGGATAAAGACAAAGAACGGAAGAGCAAACGCGCAGAGCTCATGGCCGGATCAGAGCTGCGCTGGCGGCTTTAGATGAAAGGTTCTGCGCCAGTGCTCTCAAGGTTGATGCCAGCAAATATCAACTCCTTGCGTTGGAAAATCAGCCAAATTTGTGAGATAACCCCAAATTTCACATCACTTCCGTCATATGAATCTCAAACTTTGTGACGGGGTGCAGAGTCTGGGCGCCGTCTTCGGTAATACGATGTCCCGGGACGCCCATGTTGGTGTTACCAGCCAGTGCTGCCTTGGTATCGTAGCCTGTCACGTGCGCCACCTCGTGCTCCGGAATGTCATCACCTTTCCCGTGACAATTCTTGTTTTCTCGCAGGCCCGCTTCTGCTTTTCGATGTAAGCATGTGCGTCAAACAGTATTTGGACAAAGTGGAAAGTAGTTCTAAGCTTTGTACAAATGCATTTTTTGGCCACGGGAAACTTAATCATGCTTCGGGCCCACGTGAGAGACTGGGCTGGCTGCTCAGCCATCCGCTCACCAGCCACGTGACCTTCCGAGCGCTGAGCCCCTGGTGTTTATCCTCTTTTCAAACAACCTGACACAACAGAAAACCATCGGGCCGGTTGTCACACATGCCACCCGCACGATACTGAACCGGAGCCGAACGGAAGCAGTTTTGCTCAAGGACTCGTGCGGTATGCAAACAGCCACCATCAGAGCTCATCGCACTGAGACAACCGAGTGACATGCACACGTTAAAGGTGTGAATGCTGAAGCGAACACCCCACCGAGCATCCATCGCAGGAGCGGCGGCCACACCTGCATAACGTGCTAATATGCTCGCCTTAGTGTGCTTTACAAACAGCGTTTGCGTGTAATTTTTCCGCGACTCTCTTGACAAGGGGCTCAATGGCCATACTGCCGTGAATGACTCCAAGACCGTATCATACAAATCAAGACGCAAATACACATTCAGCAGCTTTTACGCGCACCTTCACCGGCACGCATCGCCTCTGACTCATGCACACAAGGCCGTCCGCACCTTCACACTTTTGAGCTCAGTTAGGTGGGCATGTCACCATTATTGTAACTGGTTATCCCGTCTTCATACGCCACGCACGCCAAGAAGAACCAGTGCTGATCGCCGCAGGCCGGTATATCCACAGCAGTTAACAAAAGTCGATACTATGAGCGAACTTTGCGCGTGCAGACTTTATTTCAAGACAGTACTTGGCTTAAGCACGTGTTCCCTTGGAAAAAAAACACGCTGAAAACGTCCACTTCACTGTTGCGAGCAGAATCACTTGCTCCTCGACTTTTGTTGAATTTTCAAATCTGAAAATCCCATGTAAGTAAATGGAGCATACCTTTCTGCTTCACATGCTGTCCCATGCTGGCGTGGTATTGATTTGAGCCGCTCGAACAAACCACCGGCGCCGATCATATCTCACCACACCCGTCGTCGGCGCTGGACGTCCGTCGCTAAGCTCTCAGCCCCAGCACCAGCGGGCGATAAGGCAGCCACGCCTTGCGACCTTTCGGCCAGCCGCGGCTGCCGCGCCGCCGCATCGGCCGGGGAGGCGGCACTTCGACGTCCGGCTCGCGTCCGGCTCCGCCCGCGGAGACGCGTCACGAGCACACGCCGTCCCTCAGTGACGTCAGCGACCGCGCGCGTCCCCGCGATGGATCATGTTATAGCTCCCCAACTGTCAGCCGGTCCCTCGAGGTGCGCTGATCTTTCCTTTGCCAGTAGCGCAGTGTGTTTTATTGCGCCGGCCGCGGCGCCGGGACCTCGGCGACCGGTAGTCTGTGCTGAGCGCACGGCGTGGACTTGGGCGCCGTGGGGGTGATCAGACGACAGCCGGCTACCCGGCTGAATAGGAAGCGTCCGCTGGGATACCGTCGAGGGTGTGCGACACTATCAATTTACAACTGTCCGTGTCAGATGTCCGTTCTCGCCGCGGTAGACGGCGACGGCTCGTCTTCGGCGCAAACATAAATCAGCCAATGACCGAGCCGGGACGTCTGGTTTACACGGATGCGCCATTCGGCGGGAGCTGAGGCTCGCATCATTTACAAGGGCCGAACATTTCACTGGTCAATAAAGTAAGTACCTCTTATGCAAAATGAAGTTTCCTAGGCCGTGCAGCATCCCTGCGCTGTGTGGAAGGTACGAATGTACGAATAGCAATACTTGTATTTACCCTTCCGGAGCATCCATCTTGGCGAATCCGCACGACATCGTGAATCAATTTGATTAAGTTATTTAGCAAAGGAGAAAATGAATTAACATAAACATAAACATTTTTGGCAAAGGACGTCGGACGTTGATCAGACGGACACCATTTTCTGCCCTTTCCAACGATAAAATAAAGAACAGCTGCTCTTGTTTGCGTGGGACAGTGCAAGATTGTAAGTACGATGATTATTTCTATCCCACGGCAACAAATAGCTTACTTAGATAAATTAATTTTGGACAAGCTACTGAATTTACTACAGCAAACGACATCGACAAGTTCGTCATGCATGCTGACGAATGATGCCGAAGATCGTATCGAATCAGCGTTTTAAGCAAATGCATTACGCTCGCAAGTCCTTTATACCCGACGTGCGTGTACGCGGAGAAGTGAGGTTACCAGGCAACACGAGTTGGAGTACTTGCACCTTCATCCTTTACACGCTAGCTGTCGAACGCGGCCGGTATCCGGTGCCGACTACGGAAACTCCTAGAGCTCCTCTCGCTTACACATTAGAAAGAGAGGAGTAATCTTCTCTACAGACGGAACGATGTGATTATGTCTCTACCTCTTGCACAGTAAGCAGTGTGAGGCTGGTGGAAGCCGAGTGGCAGCAGGCTGGTTGGCATACGTGTTTTCGGAACTCGCAGCTGGATGTGTTTTACCCGCCAGCATCACCGCCATATGTGCGTCATAAAATAATCGAAACGCTGACAAAATAACTCGGCTCTGAAGTGCGCGGAGCAGCTATTCTTCTTGCTTGTACAGTGGGTAGCGTTAACTCACCTCTGCCTGCAAGATGGGCAGAGTTATCACACTCTCACCTGTACGGTGAGCGCCTCCGCCCGCGGCGTCATCTTGTAGGCTGGCAGGTAGGGCTCAAGCATCCTGATCTTGCCCCAGCGGTTGATGAAGAGGGCGATGGCGACCAGCCAGAGCAGCAGCACCAGCAGGACGAGGCCGGCCTCCTCGGCCGTGACAGGCAGTGAAGAGCCTGGCTGGCTCCCCGCCGACTGACGCGTCTCAGAGCCTGAGGAGGACAGCTCAGGTGATCCCAGGTCAGCTCAGGCCGGCTCATCTAAGCCAAGTCCACATTGACTCAGGTCAGGTCAGGTCAGGTCGGGTCGGGTCGGGTCACCTCAAGTCACATCAGCTCAGATCACATCAGGTCACGTAAGGTTAGGTCAGTTCACGGACAGGTCAGCAAGAACTGAGTGCGGGACAAGACAGTGTCCAGCAAAATCGACGATGGAGTTGTTATCAAACAGCCATCAGTCCTGATTTCGACGAAAATGGGAGTAATCAAGCAAGCCTGGCTTGAACCCTGTCTTAAGTTTCAAGTGAACTGATTTTGAAAGAAGAAGCCGTTGGCGACATTCAATTGTGTTGGAAAACTATTAAAGCTCTTGATGAGTTCCAGAATCGCAATTAAAAGTACCCGTGAAGTTTGGATAGGAGAGAGAGCAGACCATGCCTCAAGTCCTAAATAATCTGTCTGCATAAGACACCAGCCAAGCAGAGGAGGACTCACAAACGATGCCATCTTGTAATCTGTGCTTGTGTACTACAGGGGCTGCCGTGATAACATTTCCCACCGGTCGGCATCTGCACTACTTTATTTAAGTTGGTGCCATCACTAGCAACCTGTACCACCGAAAGGTTATCTGGGTTATGCCTTAAGGCCCCGGTAGCGAGAGGTTTCTAGTTTATTAATATTGGGAATATGTCACTAGCACCAAGTTCTGGTTGCGACTAATTCTGCTTCTAGCGGCTTGCCATCTATAGAATATGGTCAATAATGACGATCCGCCGACGGTGAGCGACCGTGTTGCCAGATTTGACAGATGGCTCACCTGTGCCAGGTGAACTGGGTGTTTTAGAGCTATTTGCGCTGTCTGTAATGCAAATAATTTCATTGATGGACTATTGCATGTGTCTCTTTGCGTGTGATATGGGACACAGGCTAGGTAGTAACTATAGCGCAAAGTACAAAGTGACTGAAGTACACTTGTTAGCAAGGCATAGGTGAGCGTTCGCGCGATATTCCTTCGCGTGGCTTACTTTTCGCCTTCCTCATATCCCCGGGATATGGAATGCCTACCATGCACTTCTAATGTTGCTGAAACATGACTGTTTTTCAAAACCAAATAATTATTTGCTATGGATGAGCGAATAGATTAGAGCTTCGCCCCGCGCGGCGCGTGTGCTCGCCAGGCCCCGGGAGCGTCTTACGGGACACTGATTCACGCCTGTTTGTCATGTGGACCGTTTACACCGCATAAACGCAGCTCTTCCCTCTCTGGGAAATTTTCCCGGCATGCAAATCGCCCTGTCCGCCCACACAGAAAGCAATACCGTTCGGTATTTGAAGCAGCTGGTGCGCGATTGACAAAAATACATTATGCATGCGTACATGACACGCGCGCACAGCCGCGTACCATACCATCATCAATAACTGCCCCGACGTCCATTTGCTTTTGTGGACGATAAATCTAGTACCGACGTTAACCCGATCAGTGCAGTCCGTTAACTGCCGTTAAAGGTGCGAGTAATGAGTTGTGCGGTGGGGCGAGTTCACAACCGCATCTCAGCTTCGCCTGGAATAGCCTTCCCTATCGGATTTCGGCAGCGCAGACCGAGAACGGGCAAGAGGCCCGCGGGCTGCTACCGGTCTCCGGACCGGTCAGAGAGGACAGGCAGTATGTTAGCTAATCAATACTAGCAGGCAGCTTGAAGTGGTTCAGTACTTTATGTCCGTCCATGAGCCGCGCGAGGTGATGCGGGGTCCCTGAGAGCATGCAGTATGACTTTGACGGTCAGTAATCCCATGCAATAGTAAACATTCCAAGCAAAGTGCTCCAATGGCGGACCACCGCTTCGAGCCGTTCGGAAACCATGTGAAAGGGAACACTTTCCTGCCACGATTATGCTCCTCGAAATGTTGAGGGTGCTCGGAAACCTTAACCCAGGCCTAGATGACCTGATAGGACCCCGCGTGCTGGAGGAAGCAACTGCGCTCTCAGCTCTGGTGCCTTATGAGAGCTCAAGATTTGGTTCTCTAAGATTTGAGAAATCTTTTGTGCTCTGGTGCTGTAAGTTTGTACGAAACTATGCCGCTGGAATTATTTTATCAACGAGATACAAATGCCATACAGATGCAGAGATTTTGTCAAGTGTCGGCCGGAGAAAGTCCCTTTAACATGAGCGTTTGTGGCGTTGTTTATTGTGACACAGATCACCAAAATCAATAAGGACATCTTATCCACACAGTTTGGCTGTCGCCGGTGGACGATATCATTACCACCACAGTCTGCAGTGATCTACTCAAGGGATGCGTAAATATATGCACTGTGGAACATTTTTTAAAATCACACATTGCAAGTGTAAAAGTCTTCAAAGCTCAAACGTCAAAACAATAATGTCTGTTGCGCTGTGTCGCAACAGACATAATTCTGTTGTTCGTTCCAGATCAGACACAAGCATTCTACATTGGTGTTGCTGATCACCCTATCGCATTGCACGAAACATTGCAGTACAGAGCTGACAAAATGCATTCAGACGGCTCAGTCCCGGGCGCAGACCTCCTAACTGCGGCTGTGTGTTCAGCAAACCCGGCAAGCGACCTCTGGTTCAGTGATAGGTCACGTAATTAATCTTCCCTGGCTATCGCTATCAGCTGAAACATTTCTACACGCATCACGCTCTGTTCTCATATGTTTCCGACGGCTGACAAGCAGAGCGTACTGTTTGCCCCCGCCAGCCGGCTGGGGGCCAAGTGTCAAAGTGTCTTCAAAGTGTCTTCTGATGAGTGACTCAGCGTCAGACGGTCGCGGCAGTTTTGGCCAACAGTCAAATCGCGTGACAATGCAGTGAGCAACCGCACGACACGGCGGTCTGAGTGAGCAGTCAGACTGCATGACAGGTGTCAGCAGTTCGGCGCATCGGCGGGCGCCCAAGTCTGTGCTGGTTCATTGTCTGTCCCACATCGCCGCGGCTCTCCGAGAGCGCGGCACTTCAAGGGAGTGCTCCACATTTGAGGATATTGGAGCAAGCGTCAGCTATGAAGAGACAAGCTTGACTTAACTATAGGTATACTTCTAGGTGAAAAAGATTCCTCTAGACAACCCATTTTCTCTGTTAAGTAAACACGATGCTCAGTACGTCATCGTGTGATTACGTCATCGTATATTGCACGAGATTGATTGAGAAGCAATTGACGGCCGGTGTATCTGGAAATCGCGCTCACAGATGCCAGATATGAAGGACTGACAGTGGCATTTTTCTTGACCTTGAGCGCCACATGGCTTATGGAATGGGATGATATGAGTGACATTACAGTGTCATGGATGCCTGGAGGACCTTGAAATAGTCTCCCAGAAAAGTCTGCACATCTTTGCGGACGTGTAGCCCAGACACCATAGGGGTTTAGTTCTTTAAAAGGGAACGGCTGTGAACTGCAGCGATTAATCTTGAAGATGGCTATTTCCGTTGGAAAACCACCGCACGAGTGAGGAACACTCCCTCTAACCCGACACCAGGCTCTCAAACTCAGAGTTCAAGTCCAGCTGAGGCTGATAGTTCGCAAGCATCACTCAAATCGCCCGGAAGTGCTGTTTGCATTTCTTCTGTTTCTGCCGGTTTTTTTTGTACACGCTGCTTTGTGCTAGCCTACACTCACATAGCCTAAGCAAAGCGCACGCTTTTTGTGTGACAGCGACGCGAGCGATGAGCGACTTGCTCAGACCTCACGCGGACACCAATGTCACCATCAGTGTGGGCCACCTATTGACACTGGTGAATGCCACTGGCCGCACTTGAGCCACAAGTAGGTCAGGGGTGTTTGCGAAGGTCACAATTTGGTCGATCGCACCCTGGTCAGGTCCAGGCCGCGACCATGGGTGCCGACGGAGACCGCGGTCCGAGAGCACTGCCGCAGGCGCAGCGCGGTTTGACATGCGCTTCCTGTCCCAACGACAGACGTCAGTTGGCCGACAACGATCTACCCAGAGGGTTTGGACGATATTGAATGTGCCTGGGAGTCTAAAGAATCCGCAAAGCGCGAGGGCGAGCGAAGTGCACGAAGGACCTGGCAGAGAAGAAATGTGTAGGGTTGTGAATCAGAGGCCAGCACTTCAGTAGTGATTTGGGAACTGCGCTGTTTCCACTGTTGAACTCGTTTGAGATAGGGCTCGCCAAGCGTGCAGATTAGAGGTCTGAATGGAAGGTGCAGGCAGCAGTAGGCTCTTATTTGCGCTTTTTCCATTTCAATGCGAAACAAGCACGTGGTCACAGAAAGCAGTGATATCCGCGGAAAGAGAGGTCTGAGAAATGTTGTTATGGCAAGACCGCCAGAACGACAATCTTCCCATCAATAAATGTCGCAGTTGTGTAGACTATAAACTAGCCCAGAAGTACCATATGCAACAAATTGTATTGCTAGCAGAGCAAAGCGGAGAGAGTCGTTCCCTATTGGGTAAATAAAATGCACGAGCGGTAGTTGTGGTAAGGCACAGAGATATGGTGGCGGCGACTTGAGTTCCGTTAAATGATTAAGGCGACTATGATTTGACTCGACTTCCTTACTCAACAAAGAACATGCCTTCTGGCTAAAAGTCACCTATCACAGTCAACTTAAGGTCGAAAGAAAATACTAAAAAGGAGAAAACGAGGGAAAAGATAGGAATCAAGGGAAGAGTGAGAAGAGAAAAAGAGGAAGAAAGAAAGAGAGGGTTGAAAAAAGCGAGAGAGAGAGAGAGAGAGAGAGAGAGAGAAGAGAGAGGAGAGAGAGAGAGAGAGAGAGAGAGAGAGAGAGAGAGAGAGAGAGGGAGGGGAGAGAGAGAGAGAGAGAGAGGAGGAAGAGAGAAGAGAGAGAGAGAGGGAGAGAGGGAGAGAGAGAGAGAGAGAGAAGAGAGAGAGAAGGGAAGAGAGAGAAGAGAGTAGAGAGAGAGAGAGAGATAGATAGAAGAAGAGAGAGAGAGGAGGAGAGAGGAGAGAGAGGAGAGAGGAGGAGATTGAACAGAGCGAGAGAGGGCGAGAGATAGAGTCGTCCCTTCCCTTCTCTCTCGTCTTCTCTCTCTCCTCGAGAGAGAGGAGAGAGAGAGGAGAGAGAGAGACTCGGACACACTCGGCACGTCATTGCTGGAGGCAGGCCCCAGACACGTGACGTGGTGTATATGTGGTATGTGGTGTTGCATATACTGACTATTGTTGGCCGCGTTGTCCATGCCGCCTCTGACCGGGTTGCTGGCGCAGGGGGACAGCTCATTGCTCGCCGGGACCTCCACGGTCACGGGGTCTTGGACAGGACAGGTCACTCCACGGGCCCGGTGTTACAGCCGCTCTGATGGCTCAGCAGACCGCGCCGCCCTGCGAACGGAGCCTGGGAAAAGGCAGCGGGGTTAGCGTGGTCTGGTGTTCAAGGTTACGTTTACGGCAGTTATGAACAGTGCTGCGAACTACACTCAATAGCACACGGCTGATCGGGTGTCCATTAATGAGATGATACGATTCATCTAAAGAAATTCAAATGATTTAAAGGTCGGTATAAATGTTTGATGCCTTCAAGTAATTCCAATACAATGACCGTGAACGAATCTGAGCTTAGTCAGATTGTTCATTTGTTTTGTTTACCGGTGGGTACTATATGCGCAGGCAAGACATCAGCTCCATGAATATTACTAAGAGGCTCTCGTCCGTCATTGTTGCATGCTTAGATGTTCGGCTGTGATCAGTAACATATATTCCTGGCGCGTATGATGCATATGAAGTTCTCGGGTCGCCGCAAGTGGCGTAGGGCATTGCACCTGAGAGTAGATACATGACCTTTAAGCTCTAAACAAACTGATCTTTTTTGCTGCTGAAGACTTGCAGGCTGGTACATGAGTGAAGATCATAAGAAGCCTGACGGGAGCACATATTTTTAAGTCTAGTGTGCTGGACGTCCTCTGATCGTTACTCATCCATCCTTCAAGTCTCCGGCAGCAAACAGTTCAGATCATTACGATCTTTCAGGTCATCTGCCTACTCTCGCGCATGTTTCAGATTTGTCGAGGTGCGCTGGCCTGCCACGCGGTCGCACATACGCGAGCTACCCATCGACGTCGATGTTTAGGGTTGTACGAACGCATTTGTCACTGAGGCCCCTTCCCATGTTCCGCACGTCGCTGCGAGCTCCTGGACTGGACCGTCTGGGCCATGCGGCGAATCGACCTGGTCGCAGTGTTGTTGATTTATGCCGGTCGCCGGAGCAGACGAGAAACTCGCGCAGTGCCAGCTCACGTTGTTGCGGAAGCTGTACGTTTCCGCTGTGCTGGTTTTGGACGGGCTGATTCCTAATTTACGTGATCCACGACCGTACCGCATCGGACCCTGGGGTACACACGGACAAACGCCAGCCAGCCTACGCACCATTTTGACCTAAGGGATACCGCAAGCGTTACAGCAAGTGCGACAATGCGCAGACATGAGGCAGTCAGCGTGGCTGGTCACCATTCATTACATCATTTCAGTCTAAGCGTGAAGCGTGACTGGAGATTTTGTGACGTCAGTGTTCGAAGTCGATGGTATCATGTGTGAAAATAGGACCGGCTTTGTTTATCAAGGTTCACGCGACCAAACCTGTGAGAGTTGAAAAGGAGTCTTAAATTTTTCAGAA